CTTGTGGGCACCCAGGAAAAACCATCATGCCAGGCGCATCACAGGACCAGAAGTCTAACAAGGGCCTTCTCCCGAGATTCTCTTGTCTGCCACTGCAGGGAACACTCCCGATGAGGAAAAAAACAGGGAAATTTGCACCGGCCCGTGTCAGGACTCATCGGGGGGCTACCCTTCCGACGATGGGTGAAGGGTGTCGTCCAGGCTGGAAACACATGAAGGGAAAGGGGTTCAAGGCAGCTTGAGCACCCCATAGACAGGTTGTCTCCAACGGGGAACAAGCACTGGCCTCCAGGATCCATGGAAGGGGGCTGGATCTGGACTTGAGGCTCCCGGGCGCCGACCCTGGGGACAAGACGCCTCACTGGGGAGCAGTTCCACCTCTCGGGGCAAACAGGCCTATAAGCTGCCCGGCGATCGGCTAGTGGGTGGGATGGGAATGATGGGAACATGAGCAGCAGGGCTAGACCACTATCGAGGCCTGTATCGCCGACACTGACTGGCAGCCGCTCTCTGGGCTCAAGCCAGGCCACAGGTGTTCAGGCTCTCCAACTCGGTGCACCCCAATTTAGTTGAGGGCTTGCTTCGTGGCCCCCCCAAAGAGGCCGACTCATTTTGCCACATTTCACACACACAGAGTGGACGGCCCCGCGGGGGGGAGTCAGCCACGGCATCCCTTGGACAGCGACCTCATGGCAGCCCTGCACACGCTTGCCAGCAGGGGGCGCTGCAGCTCTCGGGGGGGGCCGAGGGGCAGCGTCCCCAAGAACAGGGAGGAAGGCCACATTCTTAAGCTGCTGCGCTTTTCTAAAATATACAATTTGTTGTGAAGGTCAGTGTCCGTTCAAACACCTCAGGGGAGTCAGGGAGCACTCCCAGCGCCAGCCAAAGTGAAAAAGGGGTCCAGGGAGACCCGTTCGGCATTGAGTGTGGCCCTGAACCCCAACTCCCCCTTCTCCTCTGCAAAACAGCGAGATCTTTCTGGCCAAAAGCCTCAGAGGAAACCTCCCTTTTGCATCCTGTCTCCTCAAAGCCCCCAACCTCCCCGACAGAAAGGTGGGCCGATCCGACGTCCTCTTCTTCAGGTCTGTGCATTGCAGCCTGGATCAGCTGTCCAGGACTGGGCGTTCAGGATTTCAGTTCCCAGCAGCCCCAGCCAGCACAGCTCACAGTCAGGAATGCTGGGCATTGTAGTCACACGCGTCCAGCAGGGACCAGGCTGAGGAACACAAGCAGTTGGGAGCGGCCCTTGAGGGACCTCTGCTCGCCTCTCATCGCTGCCGCCGCTGTCCCAAGGGGGCTTCCTCCCCGCGGCCCCCGCCCATCCCAAGACTCCACAGTGCCGGTTCCGGGAAGCCGGAGGAGGAAAACGGAGCCAGGGGGATAAAACCAGCCGGAGCACCGCAGCGGCAGCGCCGTCTCCCCCGCAGAAGGCGCCGAGCGGGGGCAGTTCTTCGTTTCCCGCCGAGTCCTCAGTCGGGGTCCTGCCCCAGGTTCTGCGCTAAAAGCACTGTGGGCACGGGCGCCTGGTTCCCATCAGCGCCGGGGGCTCATCAGGAGACGCCGTTTCCCTTTTTTAAAAGAAAGAAAGAAAGGTTATTTACCCCTTGAAATGGGGGGGCAGGAGCTTGTTTAGCTCCAGGGCTCAAATCCATCCCGGAAGGGCTCTCGAGGGCCACAATCCCACAGCAGGCGGACGGGGAGGGTCGCACCTGGCAGCCCCTCGGAGCTCCGGGCTGTGCCTGCCGGGGCTCAGTGTGAGGAGAGGCACTTCAGCTTTTCGGATTGCGGGGAAGGCAGAATACAGAAGCCCCACAGATCTCCCCGTGGCTGGGGAGTACGGCCAGAAAGGGGGGTTCCCACAGGACCCCAGGGGTGGGCAGATACAGTTCCCCACATCTCCGTCTCAGCATTCTCGCCACAAACAAGGGGAAAGCAAGAAAAAAGCAGAGAGAAGGGGGCACTGATCCGGGTCCGTGTCTCCATTTCCTTTGCTCGTTCCAGCAGAGGGGAAAAGGGAATGTTTTAACGACAACAGGGGGTCTTTCTACTTTAATCTATAGGCTCTGTGTGGGAGCACGCTGGTTCTGGAATTATGCGGGCTCCCATATCTGCGTGGGAACATGGCAAAGAGACGGCAGGTGTCCAACTCCGTTTCAGAGTCGCTTCGGCTGCGGGGAAGGGGCAGGGGGGGAACGGATGCATCGGAACTGGCCAAATTTACGGGCCTTTGGACATGTGAAGCCTTAAGCGAAAACATGCCGTTGAAATTTAAAAGCAGAAAGGAGGGCCCGGTGCTGCAGACAAGAAGCACAGGAAAGGAGAGCTGAAAGTCCACCCGAAGGATCGGCTAAGACACGAGTCACGGAAGGGTTTAAGTCAAGGGCCAGGATACTGGGCCGGAGACACTCTTGGAAAAGCCAGCTCCTTCCCAGCCGTGAAACCCACTTTGGGCAGCCTCGTCAACCTTGCAAGGTTGTTGTGAGAATGCGACCGCAAGTCTATGCTCCAAGGAGAGACAGCAACACATCCGACGGATGTACTGATTTCTCTGAAGAATTTTTGCTCAGCCAAAGAAGGCTCTTTGGTGGCTTACTGTTCACAAAAAGATTTTTCGGAGTGCTCTTCTGCACGACTCCAATTTTGCACAAATGTAGGCAAACGGACCAAGAAAATAAAAAGGAGCTAGACAATCCATGAAATAGGATGGATGTTGCCACATCTGTACATCTTCCTGCTCTTCCCCCCCCCCCCCCGAAAAAATACATCCTGCCCTGCTGGGGAGTGGCAGGCATTAGCGAAATACCGTAATGCTTCAACTATCGGCTGGCTGAGAAAAGGAGAATTTTGGGGGCATAACATTCATCTTTTCTCGGGGAAGAGCAACAAGGTTGATTTGATAAAGCGTGGGGCCGTTAGAGTGCAAAGAAAATAATTTTAAAAATATAGACAAATTCTGATCACACGGTCTTCCATGACAGACGGCAGCTTCTCAGAAAATTTTCTGATATGTGTCTCCGAGGATTCATTTGGTTCCCTATGATGCTCATTCGCTGCGGAGCTACCCTCCCCGCGGCTCCCACCCCCTTTGCAGGAATCATTAAAAGCTGGCGAAAAAAGAACCACAAGAAAGCGAAGAGATGTGGATTGTTAGCATTGCTGCTGCTCGGAAACAAGGTCCATTAACGCTTTAGAAACAAGTCATCACGGGAGATGAAGAGGGGATGAGGGACCTGGGAAGTAAGGGGGCTGCGTGGGTGTCAAGACACGCACAAATTCTTTTCTTTGTTCCCACAATTGTTTGAACAAATATGTACGAAGAGGTACAAACAACACTAGTGACTGAAGATGAATGGAGGAGACGAGGTTCTAGTCCTTATGAAGATGCGACCAAACGATGGATGAGAGCCACAGAAACCGATTGCAAATAAGAGATCGAGAGCTCAAAGGGCTCAGCGCTTCTGCCCATCCTGAACACATTCCAACCATTAAAACCGTGCCAGGACACCCCCTTTTCGAACCCTAACCCTACCCTGGTGCACACCCTAACCCTAATATAGGGGTAAACTTCCCCTGGTAAGACGGCGATTTTTGAAAAACCCTTCCTGGAGTAGCGTTTTCTGCGCAGCTCATCATTTCTGCCCATTCCACACACATTCCAACCATCAAAACCGTGCCAGGACACCCCCTTTTCTTAACCCTAACCCTACCATGGGGCCCAACCTAACCCTAATATAGGGGTATACTTCCCCTGGTAAGAGGGCGATTTTGAAAAACCCTTCCGAGAGTAGCTTTTTCTACGCAGCTCATCATTTCTGCCCATTCCACACACATTCCAACCATCAAAACCATGCCAGGACACCCCCTTTTCCTAACCCTAACCCTACCATGGGGCCCACCCTAACCCTAATATAGGGGTATACTTCCCCTGGTAAGGGCGATTTTGAAAAACCCTTCCGAGAGTAGCTTTTTCTGCGCAGCTCATCATTTCCGCCCATTCGACACACATTCCAACCTTCAAAACCATGCCAGGACACCCCCTTTTCCTAACCCTAACCCTACCCTGGGGCACAACCTAACCCTAATATAGGGGTATACTTCCCCTGGTAAGAGGGCGATTTTGAAAAACCCTTCCGAGAGTAGCTTTTTCTGCGCAGCTCATCATTTCCGCCCATTCGACACACATTCCAACCTTCAAAACCATGCCAGGACACCCCCTTTTCCTAACCCTAACCCTACCCTGGGGCCCACCCTAACC